GACGCTTTTCTTTCCAAGCTCCTTAGACATCTGTGAATATACCTTCTTGATATTTTTAGGAATGAATATTGTGCGCATAAATGTCAGTGCTACCACGTTTGATTCGTTAAACACAAACAGCTGAAATCACTCCCTCCCTCACTTATTCACTATTACCTATAACAGAGTTTCCTATCTGTTTCCTATCATCTTTCATAGTCTTCTTCAGAACCAGGAAATAGTTCAAAATACAAATGCCAAAATGTTACACATTCATGAGGGCAATGCAACACAGTGGACACAGTTTAGATTTTCAAATAATATGGATGAGACTAAATGTAGTGAACTACCTGAGCAGATGGGAGTGATTTGAGCTGTACTTCACAGTACTCTGAAGTATTATGGAAGTTTTGTCTTTTCAAAGTGACTTTACTTTTTTGCTCTACAATGAATCTTTTTGAGATAAACTTTTTGCAAACATTGTACAGTGATTGTTTAAAATTCATTGCATGTAAAAAGAAATTTCATGCCATGTGTACTGTAAAATACATGAAATTCAGTATTTAGCTAAAAACACTTTGGTTTCTTAAAAAAAAACTAACCTTGTGAAATTTGACTAACTTGATTCAGGAATAAATGACAGCATATACAATTTTTCAACTTTGTGTTTTTAATTTATATGAAAAAAAGACATTTATTTCATATGTCAGTGTTTACTATTTGCAGTATGTAGCCAGAAGATAACAGCACTGTAGTGTATAGAATAAGCATATACTTGTTTAATCTGTTTATTTATACATCAAATTATCATTATACAACATAATCCAGTCCAATTGATTTAAATGTAAAGGCATTTGGAAGTGCTTAAGAATGTCTTAGTTACAGCTGAGTGAGAACCAAGGCGAAGGCAAGAAGGAAACCTTTTAAACCTTTTAATCCTTTTAGCTTAAAATTGCTTAAATGAAATTACACTAGAATTTCAGGGATGTGGAATGGTCATCGTTGGATATACAAAAAATGGTGTAGCGCTTATGGCTTGTGTTTTGTGGGTTTTGGTGGTTTTTGTCTTACATTTTCAGCTTCTTTGTCTCTTTCTGATGATGGTAAATAGACTGGTTATTATATAGCACTTTTCTAATCTGAGAACTCAAAGTGCTTTACACAACTTGTACATTTAGATGTACTGTCAAGTAGGTCTAAATGTCTCTGTCTTTAGTGCAGTGTGATACATGCAAATTCTCGTTAGTGTTTGTAGTTTTGTGCTGATAGTGTTGGTGGAACTGTCCCTTTAGCACCACCATTAGGTAATTTTGTGAATAGTTTTGACACATAGTGGCATAGCTGGAAGTGGAAGAAAGGACGTTTTAAGGAAGTTATACATGGCTGCCACCAATCCACATGCATTGGGCCTCAATCCTTAGTCTGTTGTGGCATTGTCTGTATGTTTACTGTTTATTTGATA